AGCCTAAGAGTTAAAAGCTTTTAGGGAGAGATATGAAGGAAACCTCTTACACATAGGGGGAGAAATCTGATCTCATATATCTGCTGGAAGCATCTGCAAATGAAAGAAGGAAGGTTAAAAGAGTGTGTTTAGCAGAAGTTTGCCTAGCAAGTAAGATGTATCTTCATAGATATATCAGATACAGTCTGATATCCAGACTGCAGATAAATAGTTATTAAACTATTGACACTACCTGTAGCTACTACCAAAATCTTTAATCTGTTAACATGGCTTATGTTAAATTACAATGATTACTCCATGGTTGCATTTTATGGTTTCCACACATTAAATATGGTGTTGATGTCAGCTTTTGGTCTGGACTAATAATAATGCTCAAGAGAAGGCTATAGGGGCATATTTGCCTTATACAAGATGTTGAAAAGGCCTTTCATAACTTTTCAGGTAGATTCTGTGTTGCTTTCCTCTTTGCTTAATCTTTGATACTTACCTGATTCTTTGAAATGTATCCAATTCTTCCTACAGATAAACTGCATGCAAGATGTGTTAGTAGCACTGACACACACATTCCTACAGAGGGTCTTCTGGTATGTTGGGACCCTGATCTTCACTGTGCCACTAGGGCAGAAAGATTTTGTGTTCTGGGCCTTGACCTGCACCTCTGGAGATCTGCATTTAATTTTCAGTGCTGCCACATACTTCCCAAGTGACCTTGTGCGAGTCATTTATTCTCTCAGCATTTAATTATCACCCTTTTGCAGATGAGAAGTTGACACTTCTCTGCCTTCCAGAGAGTAATGTGAGGATAAATTCATCAACCTTCATGTTCTGCTGTGAACAATGGGAGTTCACTGAGGCAAAGCAAAGTCCAATGAGGAGATGAGACAGCACAGGGAACCAAAGCAAGGATGAAGCCCATTTTAGCTAGCTAGAGAGCTGTGCTGTATGAAGAGAGTGCATGATGTTGTGCAGGGATTTACATCAATCCTCTGAGTGTGCAGTGCTATGACCTCAGTATCCTAGCCTTCATTACAGTGACAAACTGGAGGGTGGGGGGAACACAAGGTTCCTAGGTCTCTCTTAGTAAGTAGTCATCAGATGGCTCATTCGCTTATGTCACTTTTTTTGTGATGCTCCTGCCTTTTCATTTCTGTAGCTAGTCTGAGTCAAGCATGGAAAATGGTCATTTACTGAGATTACAGAATGTGGGTTGTATCACAAATAGGAGGAAAAGGTGCAAAGCATAAAAATGCTCTCTTGGAGAGAAAATGTTCCATGTCAGTCTGTCTTGTCATTGTGATTTATTGTTCTAGAACAGTTGAACATTTCTATTCTCACTGCCAAAGGACTTCAAGTGTATGGGACATTTCCAGTGCTCTCTAAGGAGATGGCTTTCATTTTTAAAGACAGCTGTGGGTCTTGATCACATGAACATATATCTTGACCTTGGAGTGAAGTTATTAAAAAAGTAGGTGCAATTCAGAGGAGTGCAATTGATGCTGAGGTGTTGGAGTCAGCTGCCTACGTATCTCTTGACTGGTTAGTCACTATGTGCATGCCATAGACACTAAACAGTCCAGACAGCGCCTCCCTTGTCTGGTTCCAGTTGGAAACTTCCAAGACTTCCAAGCAGAGATCTAGCTGGCCCTTCCTTTAAAACTGTTCCTGCAGGTAATTCAGTGTTGACTGGTATTTTGCAGCTGTTGCGCTGCCGATGTTCAGAAGGGTGGACTTCAAGTGCCTTTCTCATCTTGCTCCTTCAAGAGTAGGCGAGCATTGAGCATCCTTCTGTGTAGCCAGAGCATGAACTCAACCTTGAAGCCATTTGGGATGCCAAATTACATATGTCAGTTGGCCTCTTTTCAGGTATGGATGGAGGCAATTGCTTGTCCCCAGTACAGCAAAATGCTATCAGACAGCTCTGGTCTAATTTTTGGTTTATTCTTCACAGCTTTTATTAAAGCTAAATGGAGCTTCAGGTTTTTAGCACTTTGGAATGTCATGTTACAAGACAGGCCTCTTCTCTGTTAAAGGAATCATCTACACTGTGTAGATGAAAAACATTTATAAGAACTAGACTTCATTATTTTTATTATTTTTTTTCAGCTGCTGAAAAATCTACCTTTCCCACTTGCTGCTTGATATTAGATTTAAAATCAAAAGAAAAAAAGCCTTGGTAATTGATTTAGCTTCAGAATGCAGTTCCCTTGTTCTGCAGCTTCCAGGAAATACAGATAGTCTGCTTGGATGTGTGCATTTTGGGATCTTTTGGAAGCTTTCTGCCTGTGAATCTCTTGGTTTTATAAGATGATACTCTATCTTGGCTAGTAGGGTCCAAGATGCCAAAAAAGAGACTAGAGACCTGGGGGACCAGATTTTTGAATATTCAAGTGACTATTGGTAATCTCTTTCAGTTTGAAAAATGTATATCTTTAGGATGCAAGATCTAGTTGGGGAAGCAAGTTCATGTGGGTGGTTTTTGTTTGCTTGTTTGGGGGTTTTTGTGTGTTTTTGTTTGGTTTTTTTGGGGTTTTTTTTGTTTGTTTGTTTTTGTTGTTTCCTTTCTGTCCCAATGGCATTTAAAAAATCCTCTTCCCAGCATTTCTAATGTTAGGGAGAATTCTAGGAAAATCAAGCCTATGAGAAGTAGATGCTGCCTTTGCTGCATCTTCATCCTGGCTTCTCTGGAGTAATATTGTAGGGGTATAAAACATGTTTCCTGTTAGGAAAAAAAGCGCTGTAAAGAAGGAAGCCTAAGTAAATATACAATAAAGAGATGTATAAAGGTGTCTTCAAGAGACAATTCATGGCTCTGTTAGTATCACAAGGAGATTTTTGTGGGGGTTTTTAAAGGCCCTTGGTGTAGTACAGGGAATGACTATAATGCCAAACTTTAAACCCCATGCTGAAAACAAACAGCCAGCATGTTCTCAGCCTTTTCAGCATCTGTTAAATAAGGCAGTATAAAGAGCTGTGCTGTGGATATTAAAGGCTTGGCATACTCCTAGTATAGCTGTCACTGGGAAAAGGTATTTATAAAATGTGCTATGAACCAAATATGGTATTGCTGCTAATAGTGAAGCAGCCCCAGCAAAACGCCTTTGGAACTTACATGAGGTATGATAATGTAACAAGACCTTTCACCAAAAAATTGCAGAGTGGGGAATGAACAAAACCTTCCTCTTCCTGCAGTGTGCCAGGTCATATGGGTGGGTACAGCTGATACTCAGGCACACGTAACAAAACTTGGCAACAGGAAGTGAAGGGAAGTCACATGCTTAGCAGAAACTTCAAGGGCACACTCAGGAGATGGAATGTAATTACTCAATTTGGATTTTAGCCATGACAGTGAGTTAACCCTCAGAGCAAGCATGGTTTTATTTATCTCTCTTCCTCATCCTGAGAGTTCCGAAGATTAGAGGTAAGCACTTAGGACCCTTTATTTAATTTTTTTGATAAGCTTTTTCTATTACCTTCATTCTTATAATATCTGAGCCTTAAAAACATGAATTAATTTAGTCTAATATATATCTGTGACTCTGAGAAGTATTTTCCCAGCTGCCTTTTCACACCTAGAAATCTTCCATGAGAGAAGTATAAGATTAGGGCAGTTTGGTTTGTTCCTTGCATTGGGGACTACAGTGTTAGTTGCTGTCCTTTTTCACAAAGGAAGGGCATAAATATCCAGGTTAGAAAATAATGGGTAATTTAAGGAGCCTCAAAGGACCTAGTGGAAAACAGGGAATTTCCCCTTGCTGCTGTCCTTACTCATGATGAGTGCAGAATGAGGGGCTAATCACTGTATATTTCATGAACAAAATATCAAGTTTGTTCCTGTATAGTGTATTGTATGTTAGGCAGCTGGCTTGTCCCCTCTTCCTTCTGGCTGACAGCAGGATTTTCTGATCAGGTAAGGTTTCCTGTTACGTGAGCCCTACCAGTGGAGTGCACATGGAAAGCGTGTGCTTCCTCTCATTGAAGTGTTGCTTTTGATAAAAGATATGAGATATTGTGCTGGTTTGGGCTGGAGTAAATTTTCTTCACAGTGGCTGGTATGGGGCTGTGTTTTGGATTTGTGCTGAACGCAGGGTTGATAATTGAGAGATGTTTTTGTCGTTGTTGGGCAGGGCTTACGCAGAGCCAAAGCCTTTTCTGCTTTCTGCACTGCTAAGCTGGTGAGGAAGTTGGGGGTCCAGGGGATACTGGGAGGAGACACAGCCAGGACAGGTGACCCCAAGTGCCCAAAGGGATATTCCAGACCGTGTGACATCGTGCTCAGTATAGAATGTGAGGGGAAGCAGGAGGAGGGGAGGGATGTTTGGAGTGATGGTGTTTGTCTTCCCAAGTCACCATTATGTGTGATGGGGCCCTGCTCTCCTGGAGACGGCTGAACACCTGCCTGCCATGGGAAGCGGTGAATCAATTCCTTGTTTTGCTTTGCTTACATGTGTGGCTTTTGTTTTCTCTATTAAACTGTCTTTATTTCAACACTTGGATTTTCCAGCTTTTACCATTCCGATTCTCTGCCTGATCCTGCTGGTGGGGGAGTAAGTGGCTGTGTGGTGCCTTGTTGCTGGCTGGGGTTAAACCATGACAGATGTGTTTCCCCCCCGTTTTTTAGACTGTTTCCTGCAGAACAGCTGCACAGTGCTCTGAGGCTTGCTGCTGGCCAAGGCCTCTGTCAGCACAGAAATAACTAGATAGGTGTTGACCAGAATAAAACGATAAAGTCAGGTAAACTGCAGACAGATTATCCTCCAATATTTAATTTCTTTATTTTGTAATCCATAGTCTGTAGCTATTCCTTTCCCTGTCATAGAAATAAATGAGCAATGGACTGCTTTAAGTCCAGTCATGCTTCAGGGTGCAAAAATCTGAGTTCAGAGTGCTCCACAGAAGACTTCTCTACACAGAAAGCTTTAGATGCGTTGCATGCACAGACCTCTCTGTGACTTAAGCATAAGGAAAGATGCTCATACTGTGAAGTCTGGTGAGATCACAGATCAGTTGTGACCGGAGCTGCCTTGCATTAGGAAGCTATCAGGCCGGTAAGCAAGGGCAACAGGATCCAGACTCGAAGCTCATGTTTGTGTGTTGAAATAGTCCAAGGACACGCTGCAATGATTGGCAGCCCAGCCCGCCTCTCACGTCGAGCAAGTTCCGTTTGTGGGGTGGGCACAGGTGAGAGCCCGCCCGGGCAGGCTCGGCCAAGGGGAGGGCACAGGTGAGAGCTCTCCCGGGCAGGCTCGGCCAAGGGGAGGGCACAGGTGAGAGCTCTCCCGGGCAGGTGCGGCCAAGGGGAGGGCACAGGTGAGAGCTCTCCCGGACAGGTGCGGCCAAGGGGAGGGCACAGGTGAGAGCTCTCCCGGGCAGGTGCGGCCAAGGGGAGGGCACAGGTGAGAGCTCTCGCGGGTTTCAGCACCATGGAGAGCGGCACCGGCCGCCCTCACGCCGCCGCAGGATACTTGCTGCTTTTATGAAGTCTTTCTTTGCCAAGCACTTCCCAAACACTCACTTGTTTGAAGAGAATTGTTTAAAAAATTAAAAAAAAAAAAAAAAATCGAAGTTTTTTCTCAAGAGCACTCAGCAAAATGGCAGGTTTACAGTCAGTACTTGGGCAGCACTTTTCATGCAAGGGTTTCCACACATTTTGTGAATATTAATGAAGTCAGCTGCAAAATCAATCATCCCTTTATAACGGAGGTAGGCTTCATTATCCTTGTCTAGTTAGGGAAACTGAGGCAGGCAAGGATAATGTGGTTTGTCTCAGTCAATATTGAACCCAGGAAATAAAAATTATGGCCTTTATGCTCCCACTAATACAAAACCATACAGCTTCTATAGCCCTTCCTATTTTGGTTTTAAGAGATGTATTTCCTTCTTCCAAGTACAATTCTTCACTTAACTGATCTAGTTAAGCTCATGGCAGATGATTTTCCAGCTAGCCTAATTATAGCAATTCTCACCTACTACCCTTGTGTTTCTTAAGGATTGCTGCTGTTTTCAGAAAGAGAGTCACTAGCCTTATTTCAAATGCACACTGGTACATATGTGGTGCTGGGTTTGCTATTCCTGAAAATGTTATTTTGAAGCAAAAACTTGCTCCTTTGATGCTTATAAATAGGTAAATATGTGTGCTATTTTGCACTCAATTGTCAGGCATGTACCATGGTGTTTTGTTGTTTCACTGGACAGGTGGAGACAGAGCAGTTAGGCACTGATGGCTTCTGTCTGGTGAGCTGGCTCTTGATTGACTGATTAGCTTCTTTGTATGGCAGGCACTTCTCTCAGCTCTGTCATTAAAGATGCATCATAACCCCTTGCAAGATACTTTTTTTTCTTTTTTTTTTTTTTCCCTGACACAGAGGAAGAAGGAAAGAGTAATTCTGAATGTTTTACAGTAGGGAAACTTTTGTTAATATGGAAGGTCTTTAAAGATGTGACTTAACCAGATTTCTGTCTTGAAAAATTTGAAAAAAACCCCAAGCCTGAAACATTGCTGTCAGGGAAGTAACTCATCTATCTCCTCAAGATTTTCCTCAAGATTTCAAGCCTCCCATTATTTTTGTTTATAGTTGGTATCTTTAGCGTTAAATAGTTAACCTTTGTAAAAGATATGGGAGGCAGTTGGAGAGGGGCTTTTCATTTAAAAAATGGATAAAATGAGGTATGGACTAGGAGACTGGCTTATAGACATGGCTGCAGGTGTCTGGACTGTCAAGTTCCGTATCTCAGTCATTTCAGCTTGACACCAAACCATGGTTTCTTCCAGAGGTAGGAGACAAGACCCAGGAGGTGACCCCAATTCTCTGTCAGTGTTGGTATCTGATGTAGCTTCTTTCCTTTTTGCTGTTGATAATGCTATGAAAGTCCCTTATCTAATACGTTTTCTGCCTGGAGAAGTGATACTGGTATGTGTAAGTGTGAACTTAAATTGATATGCTGGTATGAATTCATTGTTTCTTCATAAGATAACTTTTCACAAGTCAGCTTGCATCACTTTGGAGGGAGCTTAAACCAAAGAAAACAAGAAAAAGCACCTCCTATTCTGCAGCAAGTGTTTACACAGGGGATTGTAGCACTTCCTTGTTTAACAAGATTTCTGAAGTTACACTTATATGCCCAGTAAAACCCTATTTTGCACAAAACACAGAATAATTTAGTTCTGATGCAGAACTAAAAAAAAGCAGCACTTTTTGCATGATTCTTGCAGATTTTGATGAACTCAGAGATGACATGACCCTTTCTGCAGTGATGATTAGTAATACCACAAGCAGGTTGAGCTATAGTTCTCAGATAATGCCTGGCAAAAAGGTAATAATCAATGTCTTCTGTCTGCAGGCCAGTATGTCAACAGTCAGCTGTGGTTTGTAGCTGGATGGGGTAGGATGGAGTCATGTGTTATGAATTTGCCTGTGCATGGAGTGATCATAAGCATGCTGCATATGATCACGGTGACTCCTTGCCTCTAGTGGAGCACAGTATTTTCCAGACACTGCAGTTCATCTTTGACTGACACGTGCCTGTGTCTGGGTTATGACAGTCCCATTGACTTAACCCCTGGAGCCTCTTGCTGAGGCAGCATTGGGCTGAGAAAAACTTAGTTATTTAAAGCCTGTTGGAAACCTTGTTTATTAGGATGTATGGAAATGTAATATGAAATGTAGCAACTCCAGATCTGGTGGGTCTTCTGACTATTTCTTCCTTTAGCTGAAGGATTAGTTCCTGTAGGAGGATTCTGTCTTCTGTGTGCTCAAGGCTGATGCTGAAAGGCACTGCCTCATCATTTAATCAGGTACACCAGTTATTTTATTGCAGTTCAAATCCTGATCCTAGATCTGATGGGTGGAAAGCTTCAGTGCCTCCAGCTCTGAGTATAGGTATCCAAATAACATTTTGCCTAGTATGAATCTGCTTATTAGAGATCATAGGAAGTCTGCATAAGGATTAATGTATCTTTCTGCATGATGAATCAGGTCTATGAAGGCATTGACATATCAGCATATGGATCTTCATTGGCTTCTACACATAGTCTAAATCTAGGAGATTTGTAGGTCTTTGAAGTTGTGTTTTAAGACTATAGAATAAGTCCTGTCCCTTTAGAGGTCTACAGAGTTCTTCATTGAGAGCTGGACATAGCATAGGCCCATCCTGGGATGTAGTGTTTGGTTTGGTAGAAGTGTGGAGAGCTGAGTAAAACAGTAATTCACTGGAGCTTAACAATGACTCCTTTTTAATTGTAAGTCTTGTTGACTGGCTTCTAAGAATGTTTTATTAAGTCATCTTCAGTCAGGAGAATATTGATGACAGTGGACTGTTATCGAGCTGTATTTGTGGTGGTGTGAGAGGTACACTGTGGGAGGGCTGTGCATCCACTCTATTTTTGGGATATAAAATTACAGCACGAGGAGGAATGGATGGCACCTTGCTGTGAAATAATATAATTCAAACCCATTGCTTTACAGTGCTGCCCTTTGAATGGGCAGTGACATGGCAGACTTGTCTAAAGGCAGCTGCCCAACCTTTCCTCATCCATGTTCAGTGCAGAGTTTTAGCTCTGTTAGGAATCGTTTGCATGCAGCAGATCTCATTCTCTCAGTTGCATTGGTGCAGTGCCTGTCAACTCAGGGAGGAAAGACAAACCTGTTAACTGGAGCTTTTGCTTGTTTACTGTGTATTTACATATCCCCTTCAGTCTTTTTTTTCCCCTAAAATTTGAATTTTTGATGTCAGTTCATTTATTTTTAAGACAATTTTTTTTTCATTCCAGAAACAGAAAGCAATGTAGATGCTAGAATCATGAGGGCATCTGTTCTCTTATTTGTGATTTCCCCCACATTCACTTCCAGCCCATATACAGAGATGCATGACTCTGTTTTTTGTTTGTTTTCTTTTCTTTTTTTTTTTTCTCAGCTACCTGTGTCATCCATTAAAATGTGCCTATCTGGGTGTTATGCCAAAGACAGATCATCTGTGAGGTCTTAAACGCTGCTAAATGATAAATAAAGGCCTTTGCATGCAGTTGATTCCTGAGGGTCAAAGCCTCTGTTCTGTGAGATGCGCCCTCAGAGAAGATTGTTGCTTTTTCCTTAAAGTGCAAAATACCATCATGCAGATTAATCATGAATCTGTTACTTTGGAGGTGTAATATAGCAACCAATGCTTTGTTTTCTCTTGTGAAATGCCATCTGCCCCTCCCCATGTGTTGGTTTTTTCCCTTAGTAAGAAGACCATGTTGTGTTGCCTTTCAATGCCTTCATATTGGGTCATGTCTCAGAAACTTAGAAGGGATCTAGGAGTACTCACTCCAGAACTAAGTCACTCCTTCTGGGTGTCATGGACTGTGTCTATTCTAGATCCCTTTATACTTACTACTTCAAGTTCAGGTCTAATTTGGTTGCTAGAATGAAGGAATGAATCCACTGGGACCTGTAGTCAGTATTCACAGCTAGCTTTGCTAGGAGCCTTACAATGATTGCAAGGAAAGGAAGAGTGAAAAACCTACGTCAGGAAAAGGAAGCATAAAAGTTGGGCCATTACAGACTATCATGAGTTTAATTTGAGCAGGAAATATATAGATGTAGTGGCCCTCAGTTTATGTCAGTGGTGAAATTTATGAGGCTCTCAAAGGGCATCAGAAGGGGGAGGTAGTGAGAGTTGTATGGTATAGGAGAGTTTAAGTGAGGTGACAATGGCACCAACAAATATATCATGGGGAATAATCTTGTTCTGATTGTGAGTAGGAAGTGAGGAAGAACAATAACCTTAGCTGATCTTTCTCACCTCTAAGTCTCACGGGGGTACAACACTTTGAAGTGCTGAGAATATCCATCAATATCCGTTGAAGCTTGGGATAACTAAAGGCACGGATCATTCTGCAGTGAATGGTATTTCTTCTCTAGGTTTGAAGCATTCCTCTCTGTTTTCCGCTTCAAACACAGCTCACTTTTCTGCGTGTTTCAGCACTCTACATATTTTGCTTGCCTCGCTCTCTGCTTCACAGCTGCTGCATTAAATCCATCCGTGGACACTTAAAAGATGCTATGGAAATGTATTGCTTGCCTTCAGCAATAGCAGTGGTTGGCCAGCACATTGCTCCCCTAGCCCATCAGCCCCAGCACTGTGGTGCTTGTGTTTGCTGGACTGTTCCTTCTGAGTGTACGGAGGTGAACACATGTTCAGTATTAATCTTCATTTCAATGAAGTTGTTTTAGTTCATGCTTTATTGCAGCGCTTTGTAATAATGCATCTGTAATGGCAGCCCTTGGGGCAGCAGTCGCATGTGGCAGGCTGAGTGCCTGAACTGCTCCTGAGAATGACTCCAATCATACAGAATGAGGCACTCCCTGGTGCACCATCTGAATTTATAATACCAATTTATATAGTGCCCTAAAGCAAGGTTTGTATTTGCTCTGGGACACAGGGGCCAGGCTATAGAAGGAGAACTGCTCTCCATTTTTTTTTGCTGTCCCTTTTTTTGAATATATGCATTTGTCTAGCTTTTCAACTTGCCTGTCTTAAAGCCTAGACTGAGCCCAGGAAATGCAAGAATATGCCTTAATACAGAGTGATGGGTGCAGAACCTGTAACTGGGCAACACAGGCCTGCTGCCAACCTCACAGCATAGGTCTTTCACCAGGTCTGGAGGGGAGGCATGTAGGAGTCCTGGCTGCTAGTTCATTATGGACCTCCTTGAGTGCCTGGGAATCAGTGGTGGCTTAACCTCCTCTGAGAAAAGACATGATGAGACCCAAAGTGGTGAGGGTTGGATTTTCCTAGATAGGTATGCAGCAGGATTTTTAGAAAGTGCTTAAGTAGCATGGATACCTAATGCCTATTAATTTTGGAAAAGAGGCATATAGTGCTTAAAGGTCAAAAGCAATGGTTTAGGCTTGCCCTGGAGATATGCCATGCCTATCACCAAACAGAAGCTAAAAGGCTTTTGTCAAAAATAGTGTTGGCTAAGTGAGAAGAAGGTATGTTCTTCTCTTTTTGGCTCCTTGAAGGATTTTGTTTAAGCTACAAAATTCCCAGTCTCCACTGTTTTATAGCAGCAGGAAGAGAATTTTCCCCCCTTGCCCTGGTTTTATTTGAGTCCTATTTGGGTTGTCTTATCTCACCTTAAATCTTCACTTTATAGATTGATACCAAAAAATAATGACATTTATTGGCATCTGATTGTGAATGAGAAGTACGTCCCCCTATGGATAGAATGATGTTTGAAGACATTGTTTTTGGCATGTGAGCAGAGAAAATGACAGTTCTTTCATCTTTATCATGTTTATCCAAAATAGTGCATGAAGTTTTAAAATGAGATAACTGAGCTATTAGAAAGGCACTGGTTGTTCCTTATCCTGAGAGCTTCCCAGCATATCAGTTACTTATAACATGATGCTTGCAAACACCTTTCAGAAGCTGATAGGATAAAAGAAATTCTGTGAGGGAATCTACACTTAACTCATACATGAGAAGGGTGCTGCAGTGAATCTGAGGGGTTTGCTTTTTCAGAGAAAGAGAGGGCAGCCTGTCTTGTCATGCCCCAATACTGTTATTCTGCACTGATGTCTTTATTCCTCCTGCTCCTGTTGTCTGGGAAGGGTTTCTGTTTTGTGTGGATACGGTTAAGTGTTTGACATGAGATTACTAGGGGTTTAATCTTCCTTGAGGAGCTGCTGAAGTTCTTCAAGGAGTAGCTCCTGTGGTTGCACTACATTAGATATTTTATTAAAGAGAGATTTATCTTTCACTCATGTTAAATCCAGCTTTTCTGATTGCGTGTCTCTCTAGCTCTTCCACTTTTAGTACTCATCAATTCCTATTCTTACCCAACCCTGTTGATGGATAAACAGGTATGACATGATATTTGTCACCAGGAAAGCACACTGTGATGCCATTGGTTAATTTTCATGGCTCCATCTGAGGATTCAGAAACAAGGAGAGGAGGCAGACTTCAAGTGGAAGAGGTAGTAAGTAATAAAGATCTACTGAGTCTTACTGCAGGTGAGGGACTGCATATGACATCATGGGAACTGGAGTGATCTCATGCAGTTATAAGATACAAGAAGCAAGAAAGGATGGAGTTCAAAACTGGTGAAAATATTTGTTGGAAGGCTGTGCTTTAACTCGGAACTGTGGATTTGGATTTGGCCATTTCACTGGATGCTACCTGCTGCCCCTAGGAAGTGTTTCTCTTCCTTTTGGCCTGCATGGAGTCAGGGTCACAGTGGGCTTGTTGACAATGGGAGATGGCAATGGATGTCATTCTGTCTTAGAATGAGATGTAGATATGTGTGTAATATCTGGTAGTGGAGGTCACAAAGCCAATGTGACAAGTTAGGTTTTGTATCACTGGCTTAAAGAATGTGCGGCTTTTATTTTATTCTCCCTCGAAAAACTGAGCATGAACCAACATCTGTCTCATCTGTTTTTTTTAATGCTTATGTGTAAATACATACAAACAATGGATCCTCTTACAATGATGCTCTCAAAGATGGTGGAACATAGTGTATGAAAGTTGGAGAAGGGCTTGCATAATTTCTTTGTACAAATCAGTTGATTCAATGAAATACACTTTTTTTCCTTACTTTAAAATTAATTGCCTTGAATTTGCTCTTGCAGTATTAGCACACACCCCACTTATTTAATCTCTCTCAGGCATTCTTCCCACAAGGAATCCTTTCACTGAATGGGTTCATCCTTACATTCTTGGCTAGACACATCAAGCTTTTTTTGTTCATTCATACACTGCCACGCGCTCAAAGTTGTGTCTGAATAGTTTCTGTCCCCTGTACACTCACTTAAACAAAATGATGCTCAGAAAATTACTTTCTGTATACAGTGTGTACAGTTTCTATTAGATAAATGCAACAGAACATGCTTGGAGGAGGAAAAAGTCTGTTAATCAAGAGTAAATGGTGATGTCCTGCAAGTGGTCAGAATAATTTTGGAAGTTGAACCTCTAGTTGGAGTTAAAAATGGTGTTTGCAGTAGAGCTTAGAACTAATCCTCTGAAATGATGGTAAAGGGAGTTCTGACCAAGCACTGTCATGATCACTTTCCCCCATCTCTGTTATTTCTTATTATTGTAATGAGTTTTGCTCTCTCAAGTAGAATAAGGTCACCAGTAAGATAAGATCAGCTTTGTTTGGCACAACCAAGAAGATCTGATCACAGTTTGGACTGCAGCTTGTAAATTCACCTTGGGTATTAACTTCTGGGCAGAAAGACACTGAAAATGCTAACATGGCAAAAAAGAAAAAATAAAAAGAAAAAAAAAAAAGAAGAAAAAGAAAAAGCCAGAGAGAATAATTGCATTCTTGCCATGTTGCACAGATTTTTCTGGCCACTGTTTCAATGGCAAATTCCCCTTGAGCCTCATTTCCATTAAACTGTACCATACAAATGCTTATTTTCAAGGATTTGGAGAACGCCATTTAGAGAATCTAAGGCGGAATACCAGGACTTTATACTCTACGGGTCAATATTGCAGTGCAGCCCCTTTTCCTATCTCCTGCTGTCATACTCAGGGCATTAGCTTAGAATGAATCTTCTAGATCTTGGTGGTGCAGCATTTGGACATCCTGGCATGATGGATGATGCCTCTAACTTTTGTTTCCAGAGTCTTTCCTAGGCTCTGCTGCCTCTCTTTCATCACCCCTCTGCTCAACAGGAAAGGGATGAACCAGGAACTGGTGATAACAGCCACATGCATTTTATATTGCATCAGGGAGATGGGTAGCTTCTGTGAGCCAGCTCGCTCCCCTAGCAAGATCTAAGCAAAAGCTGGGTGTGGTGCCTACTACAGCTCCTGCCCTGAATTAGCAAGCCCAGAGCACAATAAGTACCTTGAAGATGAGCAGTCCCACAAAGCGATTTATTGAAATTGCACTGACTGAATTGCCCCAGTTTATGACAGCATTTTGTCTTTTAGTTATAAAAAGCCCATTGGCTTGGTAAAAAGTTTTGGAAATTTATTCTAAAGGGAATAAGCAAAAGAAGGTGAATG